AGAACATCTTTAGCCCTTTTCAGTAACAAGTATCTGTCCCTGCAGCTAATTTTTTTTAACAATAATTGGACGCTTACTTTCTATGTCACGGACACGTAGTCAGCAAATTATTTTCCAAATTATAATATCTGATGCACAATAATATCATTCTAAATAGATAAATATAGAATACCATACATTGTCTAAAAATATATAATTTATTTGTACAAGGCTAAGAAACAGCTAAAATGCGAGGCTATGTCGAGCATTCTATCCTGTTTCGAGCCGAGAATAGTAATTTTTGGAGTAATCAATTACAAAATCTTTATGATGCATACGGGTTAGTAAAAAAAACTGATGTCTGACAGATTAATTTCTTGTAAACATCCCAAGGATGTTATTTGGTACATTTATAATACGTTTGGATTTTCGAATTCAAGGGGTAAAGCTGGGGGCTTCAAACACTTTTCTTGGACACGGTGCTAAGTTTATTCCCGCTATGAGTTGAAGTCACTATTTCACGTATTCCTGTCCATTAAGTAAAACAACAATTAAAATCGATTTTATAAGATTTCTAAAAATTAAAAAAATTAAAATTATGACAAACTTAAATGAACAACTGATGATTTCTAAATCTGTTATATATTATTGCCGTTATTGATATGTCGATATAATATCTAATCCAGTCGCTTTGTTATTTTTATGTTTCAATATCCTTTCTGCATGTCGCTTACAGTAGTATGTAGCTTTCCGTTGTCATTAAATGTTCCCGGGTCATGGATGTCAAGAAATAGTTCCTGATTCAGTCCTCTTAATATTTTCTAATATAACCGACGTCATTTTCCTAAAACGAAGACGAAACGAGTTAGTTATGAACTCAACTGGTCAGACAAAGTGGTGTCCAAACCGAAAATGTAATCAGGTAATCACAGTGGCAAACACAGATGAAGCAACTAGTATTGCATGTCTGTGCGGAATTCAGATTTGTTTTAAATGTTTCAGAAATGCTCATTGGCCGTTGTCTTGCGAGTAATTGCTCATTTACCAAAAGCGTCTTACAGGGATTGTGTTCTAACATTAAATTACACAAAAAAGATGCTCTTTGTACTTAAATATGATATCAAGATTTGAAGAAGCAGATGGCAAAAATCTTTCTTCTCGAAAGCACAAAATAGAAAAAAAGATTGCTGGTGCTTTGTGGGAATTGTTTAATGTTTTTAAAGATTTCCACCACATCGCTGAGTATAGTTTTATGTTACTCGAAGAGTTGAGTCAGTACTTCTTACATAAACAAATTCTTCATGTACCTACGCACATCAATCAGCTAAGTGTGTTAGCTAAAAACATAGCTCTCCTGGTTCGAACGTCTGATGATTTAATTGACCATCGTTTACTAATTGAGTCCCTTCTGATGCTCGAAAAACAATGCCAGAATGAAATGAGACAATTTATACAGGTTATAAATAAACTTAAGTAGTATACAAATTGCTTTGTAATCATTTAAAATCATTTGTAATGGAAAAGTAGGGATAGAAACGTAAGTTAACCTATATATATATATATATATATATATATATATAACAAGTCTAAAAGGGTACAACATCACCAAAAAATAATAATAAAATGAACAAATTTTAAATATTTCGGATAACAGATTATATGATCCATCGCCCCGTAAGATTTATCGTTGGCTATTATTCAGTCATTATATATATATATATATTTATATATATATATATATACACAGTAAATAAAAGTGTTAAGAATCTGAACACTATTTGAACGCCCTTTTGTAACACTTCTGGAACGCGTAACAGTGTTCTAAATATTAACATTGGTGTTCCAACTTTTAACATCATGTGTGCATCTTTCGAACATTATGTGTGTAATTCTTGAACGGATAGTGTGTACTCCTTGAACGCCTAGTGTTTGTTCTGGAACATGTCCTTGTGAGCAAAATTGTATGCCGTTACGCATTCCAAGCCATGTAACACTTCTGGAACGTTCGAACTGTGTTCCAGAAATATGTGTTAATATCCAGAACACATAGTGTAGACTTCTGGAACACATTTTTACATGTTCCAGAAAAAAAGTGTTCCATTCTCTGAAACATTCTTGTGGTCTTGTAAAAATAATAATTTAATTGATTAAAAAACATCTTTAATTAAGTAAAAGAAGCAAATTTAAAAAAAAGGACAATTAAATGTGAAACATTGAAGAAACTTTAAAATTACAAGTTAGACAAGTTAGAAATATAACATTTGACAACGAATTTCGATATTACACTATAATTTAATTGGCAAAATGTGTCCAAATATTTACATGTAATCATGCAAAAGTTTCGTCACATTAAAAATTATTACATTACAAGAAAGTCTACTGGCTTATGAACACAGTTTAACTCATCGTGTGCAACTTCTCAAGTCAAGCACTGTCCTGAATTTCTTTACAAAAAACTGATGTCAATGGCTCGTTAATCATCAATATTTTCCATAATCCACAGCCTGCATAGCACTCAGATAGTCAATATCAAACATAAAACACCCTGTATATATGCTGCTAGTAGTCGGAGTCAGTGTTCATGTAACACTGCTATCTTGGGTATTTTTAAACATGATTTGAGTCGTCTACAATTGTTTTTGAGCTTCCATTTTTAAGAGGATTCGTCTCCTTGGGTTATAACTACTCATTAACCTTGTTATCCATCAACCGTAAGTTCTGAAATGTCAAATATAAAGTGTATGAGTAAACAAATTATTGATCATGTCGATATTGCTTAAGAATTAGAAATTCTTATTTCGTTTTTGTAATTCCATTATATTTGTCAGCATTATAAGAGGTTTTTTTTAATCAGTGCAATATTTAATAAGATGCATTTTTACTATTTGATTTGTTAAAGAGTGGTATACATGTATTTTCAAGTATAGGGGCTCTCGTGTTCTATAGCTTTTTGAAAAAAAAGATGATAGGAAGTGTACAGCAAATGTTCATAGATCTTCATAGGTGTTTTAAGCAAAATTTTGTCGTTACACTTGTCACTAAATTGATTGCTAACATCTCAAGAAACTAATGATCATTTGCCTGTTTTCAAAAAAAAGTGTAGGAATTTCACCATTGATCTGTATACGGGTAATTCCACCATTTGTTTATCAAAATACTTCCCTGGATTCAAATTGAACTAATTATATAGGTTCTGCTAAAATAGTTTCTGATTCGTGTAAACAAGTGTTTGTGATGGTGCACATTTTATTGATAAATCTGCATTAACAAAACTCCAAAAACTGTAAGAAGTCAATGGGCACTACTAACATTCTTAAACTTACATAAAGTACTTTTATGGTGATGGATAAGTAGTCATCTCTAATGTTACTGAAACTGCGAAATGTTCTCTGCATTCTATAGGTATGCACGTACAAACCCCTGAGTAGTTGTATTTGTACCCTATAAAAGTAACAAAGGAATACATTACAATACATGTATGAAGTGCACAATGGTGGACATTTGCTGAAATGAATTACTAAGAATTAAGTATTTAAGAATGAGAAAGCCATTAATACAATATACATTAGAAAATTAAAATTAGTGTGTTGCAGTATGCCTTTTTACAAATTTCTGTCTTGACATTGACAGTACTTGTATACATGTGAACAAACCCTTATTCATTGTTTTATCTTAACAAATGTACATCTTCAAACGTGTGGATAATCGCGTAATCTACTTGTTGCTTTTTATACACAATAAAATTGAGAATGGAAATGGGGAATGTGTCAAAGAGACAACAACCCAACCAAAGAGCAGAAAACAGCCGAAGGCCACCCATGGGTCTTCAACACAGCGAGAAAAATCCCGCACCCGGAGGCGGGCTTCAGCTGGCCCCTAAACAAAAATGTGTTCTAGTTCAGTGAAAATGGACGTCATACTAAACTCCAAGACATATAAATGAACTAAAATTAAAAAACATACAAGACTAACAAAGACCAGAGGCTCCTGACTTGGGAGAGGCGCAAAAATGCGGCGGGGTTAACAATGTTTGGAACACATGGCGTTCAGGGAAAACGATAAGTTGGAACGCATCATGTTCGAGACCAGAACGCTTTTACAATAGCAACGCTTTCATGAGCATTAACGTGTTTGCATTGGTTAAAAAAATTACCCAAAGAACTTAAGTCGTTAAGAAAAAAACTATATATTAAAAATCAATAATTTCCACGCTTATAAATACGCTCCTGTAACATGTTTCAATGTTCATTTTACCCAACTATACCACTGCCATTGGACGTTTATCAATCAACAATCAATCATTGTCAAATTCTTTTTTTGCCTATTGTTACGCTGTTTTAGCAAAACGTAATCGTGACATCTTTAGAACTCTCAAAGGTCTCCAAATCAATAGAACGATTTTCTTAAGGTACCGACCATTCATCTTCATGGGACAAACCATTTTTTTTTTTAGTACTTTTTTTCAATAACATACAGGAACATTTTTAAACTCCATGTTGAAACCCCCCGCCCTTCATTTTCAAGAAATCAAACAATTTTCCTCACTTCCCTCCTGAAACAAAATATATTTTTTTCTTTATCCCCCCCCCCCCCCTACAAAAACATAACCCCTCCCCAAAAAAAAAAAAATAAAAAATAAATAGAAAAAATATATAAAAAAATATGAATTGGTCTACACCTAACTGATACAAAAGTTTACAGAAATATTTTTTTAATTCAATTCTATGTAATGTACATGTAAATTACGTGTACATGTTGTTTACTGATGTGAACATTTTTCATGTACAGGTAATCAAAACCGATGTACAGATGAGAACAAATTTAATGTGAAACCAGTGTTCATTACATGAAACTAATTGTAAACAGGTTTACAGTACGCAGCGTTTGGTGTGAACACGGCCTAATTTGTCAACCTCAGCGTCGAGTGTATACCTTTTCGTAACACGTCTAATTATAAGCCTCGATTGAACATTGATTTCCCTCCATTTAAATATATATATTACATTGTACAAACACAGCATTTTCATTCCATGGTTTCAACGTAAATAAATATGAACTGATACACACTGAAAGGAAGCTACTAAAAGAAACGTTATAAACAGAAATTAAAAAAAATGGTTCTAAAGAAATCAAAAAATGGAATAAATTCAGGGAATACTCATAGAACATGCAACACAAAGTAAGAACTTTATTGTAAAACTCTTTATAAATATCGATTAATACATTATGATGTGTAGTTTGGCAAAACCTATCATAAGCGCGTTCAATAATGATTTTTCTTTGAAAAAATATGCAATTTACCTCAAGTACTTCCAATAAGGTGGCTGGGACTCTGAAATTAATATAATATATTGAATTTTTTAGATGATGCCATCACATTAAACAATTCTTTATCATTATCTTGGTTTTGGGATTGTGTAATTTTCCTTGGGAAAGATTACACGGAATGTTAAGTCTAGGTTAGTCTATGGAAAGAAAAAATCGACGATAGAATACTTGAGGAGACATCTTTTACCCAAGACTGTTAGAATAAAAAAGAGAAAACGAGAGATTTGTGTTTTCGTGCTGCATGTCAAAATCAGCTCGGTCATCCGTAACAATTTTAGACCCTGAAACCTTAATGTTAAAGCTGAATATTCACTTTTATCTTTCAAACAATTCCATGGTTAGAATACAATAAAAGAATGTGCATTTCGTTAAAACTGTCATTTACCAAAACGCACAAGTTCAACGTCATTAGAGAAGAAAACGCGTCATTCGTGTCTGAAATGAACTTTATAAAAGTTTAGAAGGTTTTTTTAATAACCTATCATAGTTCGTTAAACAAAGAAAGGGATAATTACATAGAAACATAATGTTATAACAAATATACTGACGGGCTTTAAAAAAGCAGCACTAGATAAAAAAAATTCAATAACTTCATTCATCACTTCATCGTTTAAATAAAGTTCGAAATTTGATAGATGAATAGATTACGTTTGTCACATGTAATAGTATCAACTGAAAACTATGTTTAACCGTTATATATGGGTGTGTATACCTTCGTGGGTCAACGCCTAAATGATAGACAGAGAAATCGACTAGTTCTGTGGAATGGTTTTAGTTAGATTTTGTCCCTGCTGATTATACCCCTTTATTGCCCATTCTGTCTGTTTTGGAATAAGCTGTTTATACTGCTAAACCTTTAAATGGTTTTCTGCAGTGCATTCTGTTGAATTTCAGTATATGGGAAACATTTTTGTCGTCTGCCATGACATCCGTCGACTTGGTAAGAAGTTGATGCTGCAGTCGTACATGTCTCTTGCAAATTACGAACATCATGCAATTTTATTGACGTTAGGTTGTAACTACAGGTTGTCCTAGGATTGGTGGTCATTTACAAATCCCGTCTGCCTGTGTCGTTGTTGTAGAAAGGGGAATTTCTGACGTGAAATTATGTAGCAACAGCACATTGACTTATTCTTGCTTGAACATTCGTATGGCCTGATTCAGATTTTAAGTGTTCAGTATCGACGATATGGAAACTCAACATTTTTTTTATTAATATAAGTGAGGGTATAGATTTATAGAAATGTTTCACGAAGGAAATAAATCCTGCGTGGGTTTCAAATCTAGGGCCAAGAACTTCGTACAAGGTCAATAACCGGCATGTCCAACTGTTTCAGGTAAGTCAGGTATAAAATTTTTCTAATAAAAAGATATATGGTAAATTGGAAAAGCAATAATATAAAGATTAATCATGATTTGTTTAAAAAGAAAATCAATAGAATGTATGTTGCGTTATCAAAGTCCGCCAGTATATTTACCTTGACTGAGGGTTTAAATATGTTGGATTTACTCCGCAATGAATACACCATAAGTCCAGTGTTTAAATAGCGTAAAAGTCGTTTAGGTTTTAAACTTATTAAAAGTTGTTTTGCCAACAAAAAAAAAAACAAAAACAAAAACAAAATCAGTGGTCCGCTGTTTAATTTGTCGTTAAACTAATCATAATTATTTTGATAAACTTTAACGAGTCGTTTTTACAAGTGGTCAACAATTTACTATGATGTGATGGATAAAACTAATCATAATTATTTTTGATAAACTTTAACGAGTCGTGTTTACAAGTGGTCAACAATTTACTATGGCGTGATGGATACCCTACCCAAGTTAACCTCGGGGAACAGAAATTGGGCCTTATATCACTGCTGATGAGTAGAACACACTCTTTTATGTCACTTTCCAATCCCTCTGAATTACAAATTAACCGCTTCGTTATTGCCTTTATGTTCTGCTGATGCCTTCTAGGCCTATTTATGGAACGGTATGGCCGCTTTTTTCTTTAATCAAAGACTTGGCGTAAAAAATATAAGAAACTTACAAAGATTAAAATTAATAATTCATATTGATATTGTTTTTTTTTATTTATATATATACAAGACACTATATTGAAACGTTTGTGAAAGTTAAGGTACATCCTTTCTATTCACTTTAAAGATAAATAATCTAACTTTCTCCCAAAATCAGTTTTGTTTCGTCTTTATCATATGTATTCATTGTTTGAAAAAAATGTAAAAATATGACAAAATGTCAATTAACACATCAAGCTGTAAAATAAAATTTTAATAAAAATTCAAAGGATATGAAATACTTGTGAATCATTATATGGGGAATCGACATGTACCCTATCTCATTTATTTGAGAGTCAATCTTTAGTGTAGTTCTATCCAAAAAATAGCAAAAAATGCCACTTGGATTTTAATTTTTTTAATTTATGTGAACCTAACTCTTACTATAAAACTTTATTCCTTACACATGAAATGAAGTTTTTGGTGACACGAATTTAACATGAGATTAAAATTTTACCTGAAGTGAGGTAATACGAAAAATTAAATCAACTAAATGTTCTTCATACTACTTCTATAAAAAATACTACTAAAACAGTCTAAAATTTTTGAGTTTTTCAAATATAGTACTAAATGGATTTAAACATCCGTTGAAATGGTAATAAAAAACATCGAAACGTCTCCTCTTTAGCCGACATGTGTTTCTTTCTCATGTAAAAACATGGAAACCTCTCCTCTTTAGCCGACATGTGTTTCTTTCTCATGTAAAAACATGGAAACCTCTCCTCTTTAGCCGACATATGTTTCTTTATCATGTAAACCCCTCTTCTTTAGCTGACATGTGTTTCTTTATCATATAAACCTCTCCTCTATAGAAGAGGGACGAAAGATACCAGAGGGACAGTCAAACTCATAGATTGAAAACAAACTGACAACGCCATGGCCAAAAATAAAAAGACAAATAGGCAAATAATAGTACAGATGACACAACATAGAAAACTAAAGACTAAGCAACACGAACCCCACAAAAAACTGGGGGGTGATCTCAGGTGCTCCGAAAGGGTAAGCAGATCCTGCTCCACATGTGGCACCCGGCGTATTGCTTATGTTATTACAAATCCGGTAAATAGTCTAATTCGGTAGGTCACCTTCGTGAAAAGGGAAGGGTATTGTAGTTACGACATAAGGAACATATCCGATATCATCGTGTTTCTTTATCATGTAAAAACATGGAAACCTCTCCTCTTTAGCCGACATGTGTTTCTTTATCATACTGAAAAACCTCTCCTCTATAGCCGACATGTGTTTTTTTATCATGTAAACCTCTCCTCTATAGCCGACAAGTGTTTCTTTATCATGTAAAAATGATATAATGTATAGACACTTGACTTCTTTTGAAGATCCTTTGTTGACCCCTAAATGTTTTGGGTTATTTTGTATCGTTTGGTTTCTGTCTAATCGATGTTTACCCCACGCCTACTTAAATTCAAAATATATGAAATCAAAGTACTGAAGTACTGGACATCGGATGACCAAATGTTCTTGAGGATGATCAAAAGCACTTGTCTCAGAAAAAAAACAACATATCTCTTTACCTGAAACTGAGGTTAATGTACAGAGATATATTTTTTCTGAGACAAGTTCGTGCGTGGATGATGAATAAATGTCAGGAAATTCAGCTTCACCGTAATAACTATTATATTGTAGTGATACAAATCAGTATACACTGATTTGTTGTTATATATTATATTAAAATAACAGTTACATATATATATGATTTGCATCCAGTTGTATATCATTCTATTCTACTATTCTAATAATAGTGCAATGCAAGTGCATGGTGGACACTTTTCTGTAAAAATTAGATTTTTCTAAGATTGGATACGAGTAGGCATTCATATTTTCCCGCAAAAACAATTACAGAGTTACCGGTCCTTGCCGGTATTGTCACAAAACGTTCTTTGAGATATTCTTCCGCATGCTTTAACAAAATTTTTCGGTACTTGTGCATTGATATTATCAATGATTTTTTACTTATATATACATATATATAACTACAAAACATTTTCATATTATTAATTTATGTTGTAAACAAAAATATTTTTATCAGTATTCATTGAAGAGATGTATTTATATCAAACGATAAGGAATGTTATTTTGCACTCGTTTATGTGCGCATTTTTATCATATTTATAGATCGGTTACAAACCCAAAACTAATTTACATAATGGAAATCTAGGCGATAGCAATACATCGGCATGACCTCAAGGTCATCGCGATGTAAAAATGATAATAACAAACCCGCAAACTTCTGTTACTGTAACCCTCCCCCTCAATCTCTGGTCGATAAAAAAACTAAATACAAATTTGCAATTGAAAATGGTATATAATATTAATGCAATATTTTGTACAGTTTATCTCATTTCAAGGGCTTACGTCCACAATCCAAACGTGTTTGAAAAATCTTGGATTGGCCGTTTTATCTTTTTCACAAAGAATTACTTCGGAAAAGAAAAAATAATGCTCCCTTTTAATAGTGTATTGTCATTCATTACGTTTGAGAACGAATCGTCACCGTTTACATATTGTAAAGTGTGGATTTGCAGTGGAAACAGTACTCAAAGAAGAAAGAGAAGCAAACTTAATTACAATCAACGATAAGCCTTGTGTCATTTTTACGTTATTCATTTTATATAACTGCTTTCTTGGGCAGATGCCATCTATAAGTGAACGATATAAAAAAATCAAGATTTAAAATCAAATCAACAAAAAACACGCGCAGAGAAATCAAAATAACAAAGTCGGATATGCTTACTGAGATTGTAAATTATGTATCACAATGACACGAAGGAACACAATAAAAAAAATAATAAATTTTGAATTTGACAACACGTAATTAACGATCAAAGTAGTGTCTCTGAAAGTGGTTGCTATATGGCAGAAAAATCATAGTATTTTATTATTTTCCCTAATTTTTTCGTGATTTTAATTACCATTTACAGGGCATAAGTGTGGCTTACATTTTATTTGTGGAGGATCTCGGTATGTCTGTGTTTAAAACAACCGACCTCGTGTAACTATAATGTCATACTAACAACTAATCGACGTATGTAGTATCGCATATCGATAGACCGGGTGCCTAATTTTATTTTTGAATTTTTGTTTTCAGATATCATCGCAAATACGATCGTCGTTTAAGTTTGCTATGGAGTTCATCGGATCCCGAAATCTCTTGTAGTGTACTAGAAGACCTCGATATCGTTGCAAACGTGCCATATTCTCTGAATAAAAAAGGAAGGTGGAACCTAGTGGATATGGTGAAGGGATTCATTTCAGCTGACAAGACTATTAATGAAGATCAGTCAGTTAGAATAATAAGTTCATATGACATGTGCATGTCAAATCACACTAAATTTCTCTGTAAATCAAAACCAAATGGAAAATTGAAAACAACTTATAGTAGGAAGGAAAGGTTGATAAATGGTCAATCTACCGTTACAGAGGAATCAAAAAGATCTTCAAAAACAGTTGATGTTCAAGTTGAGTTTCTTTCTCCATGCCGCCCAACAAATAATATATACCATAGTCATAAATTTATAGGACTAGTGGACGAAACAAATTGCATAAAATTGAACAATTTTAATAGACGCAATCAGATCAGAAAATCTACAAGACTGGACATTCCTGTTCTTCCTAAAAATTATGGATCAGGTAAAAATTATGGATCAGGTAAAAATTATGGATCAGGTAAAAATTATCCGCAGAAAAGTTTTACAAACAGCTTCCATTATTCTATTGATGAATTTGCAATTACAGAAGACAGTGCAATGCAATTTTCTCCATACACACATACAAGTTCTGTTCATAGGCAGTCCTCTTGTGTTTTGTGCTTTGCACGATCAGTTGCTTCTCTCACTTCAAGTAAGTTTAAAAAACAGAATAAGAAAAAGAGGGAAATTAATCAGAGCGACCAAAAATCATTGTTATTAAGAAAGGAAATCAATCCTCTTAACAGGTTAAATTCGCCGCCAGTCAATCAATCTGGAACTGATGCAGTTTCACCGGCAATAGATCAACCGACCAGAATGGATCATGTTTTCGTTATGATATCTAAACAAGAAACACATCCTGTCAATTTAAGAAGGACATTTGGTAGCAACTATATTGAATGCCCTTGTAAACCACACACATTTATAATAAATGTAACACAAATGCTAGAAAAACACTTGAAAATATCCGATTGGTGGCGTGGTAATGATGTACATAAATGGGAATTGTGTTCATGTATAACATTTTGCAGAGATAAATCTGAAAGTTTTGAAACGGACTCCCATAACAGATACAAAGTTTGTCTAAATATGGTATCGAAAAATAATGTTGGTAAAATTCTGACATTATTTGACAATTGCCAAGAAAGTATTTCAGAGATAGTGCAAAGAGCAGTTAACTATATAGACATGTTATCAGGATCAGATTTTATTGAAAAGGAGCACGAATCAAAACAAACATCGAAAGATCCAAACTTCAAAATTCTGAATATGTTTTTAAAAGTTGACATTAAAACACACTCGATTTCTGCACAGTCTCTCTTCATGGATATTTTTCAATCAACAGTTCCTCAAACCGGAATCGTGTTAAATAATGACGTCACACTAAGTGACGAATGTGAAATTTGTTTCGATTTGATATCGCATGAACGAAAACCCAGTACAATGCTTGAGGCATGTAAACATGTGTATTGTAACGACTGCTGGACTGAGTATATCAAACATCGAATGCAATTGGCCTCCGTAAACATTTCCTGTCCGGGTCGTGGATGTCAAGAAATAGTTCCTGATTCAGTCCTCTTAATATTTTCTAATATAACCGACGTCATTTTCCTAAAACGAAGACGAAACGAGCTAGTTATGAACTCAACTGGTCAGACAAAGTGGTGTCCAAACCGAAAATGTAATCAGGTAATCACAGTGGCAAACACAGATGAAGCAACAAGTATTGCATGTAAGTGCGGAATTCAGATTTGTTTTAAATGTTTCAGAAATGCTCATTGGCCGTTGTCTTGCGAGTATTTGCTCATTTACCAAAAGCGTCTTAAACAGGGATTGTGTTCTAACATTAAATTACCCCAAATAACCGAGAAAGATGAAAACAGAAAACAGAACTGTCCTGAATGCAATATTTTGATTGAAAAGATAGGAGTTGGAATTTACATGACATGCATATGCGGAACCATGTTTTGTTGGGGCTGCTTAAGTATATACCCAAAGCACACTTTTTCCAAACGATGTACTGAAAACCCGAAGAATGACATCGGTACTTCAAAATTATATGCCAAATATATTTTGTTCAATCAAAACCGTTCTCTGAACAAGGAAAACTTTTCATATTTTAAAATGGCACTGTCTCATCGTAACGTTTCAAAGGACCGTCAAAACCTATTGAAAATAAAAGCCAGTGTACGACAAATTATGAACCAAAGTAAAAGTATACCACAAAAAAGATGCTCTTTGTACCTAAATATAATATCAAGATTTGAATTAGCAGATGGCAGAATTCTTTCTTCTCGAAAGCACAAAATAGAAGAAAAGATTGCTGGTGCATTGTGGGAATTGTTTAATGTTTTTACAGATTTCCACCACATCGCTGAGTATAGTTTTATGTTCCTCGAAGAGTTGAGTCAGTGCTCCTTACATAAACAAATTCTTCATGTTCCTACACACATCAATCAGCTAAGTTTGTTCGCTGAAAACATAGCTCTCCTGGTTCGAACGTCTGATGATTTAATTGACCATCGTTTACTAATTGAGTCCCTTCTGATGCTCGAAAAACAATGCCAGAATGAAATGAGACAATTTTTACAGGTTATAAATAAACTTAAGTAGTATACAAATTGCTTTGTAATCATTTAAAATCATTTATAATGGAAAAGTATGGATAGAAACGCAAGTTAGCCTATATATATATATGATCCGTTCATCCTATTTTATATTATATAAAATAATTAAATATATACATACAAGTCTAAATTCAAAACAACGTTCAAACCTATGATTGCGTTGGATAAAAGCCGCAATTTTTATACGTGTGCATGCAAAAGAAATTTCTTGGTAGAGTGGTCTAAACACAGCACAAACAACATTTTCCAAAAGACCAAAAAGTGAAAAAGTATATTTTAACAAAACGCATTTGACTAGCAGGTCGAACAACGGATGTTCTTAAACCCTGCTGACTGCCATGGCAATTGCCAAATAAACGGATCACCAGATGTAAAAATGGATCTTTATTATTAATTTAATACCAAAACAGAAAACAATAAACTTGCGGCAAAGATGGTATACCGCAAACATGAGGTGCAAAAATTTGTACACCATATCCGGATTTCGACAATTAATGTCTCTTCAGTGATGTTAGGAATCGAAACGGTATTTGGAAGGCCATATAGTTTACCTCAATTTGGGATTGACTCAAAGAGTCAAAATAGGATGAACGGATCATATAAACCCGAAGGCAAATATAATACAAGCCCAAACGAAAAAATATAAACAAGTCTAAATTAAAAACAACTTTCAAACCTATGATTGAGTTGGATAAAAACCGCAATTTTTATAGGTGTGCATGCAAAACAAATTTCTTGAAAGAGGGGTCTAAATACAGCACAAACAACATTTTCCAAAAGTCAGAAAAATGATCTGACTTTATAGGGATTTTGTCTTTAATTCATTTTATTTTATTTTATACAATTTATTCTATTAAACCGTGTGGACACGCAGCAGTAAATCATAATGAAAGATGAAACGATAAAAGACATATGATCGGATGCTACAAAAATGGCGAACAAAGCAACATGCAGCAATAAGGTTATGCTCATCGTTGTATTTGGCAAGACAATCTAACCCACACACATGTGGTTTGAAAGGTGTTTTATTAAATTTAGCTGAACGTTGTTTTAAAGTTCCCATCAATGAAGTAATACATATTGTTGAAAATTGTAGTCTCTTTTATCATTTCAAGTTTGGTATTTTGTTATGTCGAAATAAAGTAGTTAGGACTTTATCACCCCTCTCAGACTAAAGGCGTATTCTCTTTAGTCCTCTATCTATTTTGAAGAACAAAATGAGTTTCAACTCTGAAAGCTCTGCCCAAAGATTAAATTGTGCAATCAATTGCAAATTGAATCTTGATTGCGCACGAATTCGTTAACTGATTGTTTGCAACGTGTAAGTCAAGATTTTTAAAATTCTTCTTGATTCAAGTGGTTTTAAATCGTTCAGTAAACATTTTTTTGAAAAAGGGATTTGAAACATTTAATGCACATATTTGACAATTAGGGGTAAACGTTGCAGTGCGGGTTACAATTGTTTTTAAACCATAAGACACAGTTTAAAAAAATAAACAAACATGACATCAATACCTCCTGAAAAATATCTCAGCTAGACATTCAAGCTGGTAATCCAGTATGTTATTGATTAATTTTATATACTTTCTATATTAGTATAGGCTCAAAAATAAAGATAATACCTGAAATAGTTTAAGATGAATGACTATGTACAGGTCTTTGAAAGACAGAGAACAGTTGATAAGACATTATGATCATCATGTAAACAAACAATTTAAATAACACGTCTTTCAGTCGAAAACCTCAGAGTACATTTATTGTACTCAGACGCAGAACCAATCAATCAAAATACTGGATTAGGTGTTTTGAGCACAAATTTTGTACTCCAAGTACTGAGTAAAAGTAAACTTCTATGACCGAAAGTTTAGATGTATTGTATTTGTGTTTTGTGTTGTGTATCGGTATCGATGCACACATCTTCCAACTTGTATAATTTATTCTTGTCTGTGTATCATTGTCATTTCCAAGCGATACAATATATTATACAGCAGTTTGATTAAAAAAAAGCCTAGGTCTACAGCTTCAATTTTTTTGTTACACAGATACAAGACTACGATATATATTTTGAATTCGCAATATATTTCTTTTATAATAATGACTGCTTGGTTCGATTTTAAGGGATACCGCCTCCAGTTTAAGATTTGTGACACGAACTGGCGAAAGTGATAAAACATTTTTGAGCTAACATTTTTGTTTTCATATCTGCATGTTCGGTAAACGTAAATGAAATACAACCAAGGAACAAATGACAACAACTTTATAGGTTATTATATTTTAATATTTATCCTTTATTAGATCATGAGTGTTGACCATGGTTTATAACTATGGTCATATCGACTTCTGTGGTCCGGCAGTGAGACTGTGTAGCCTCAAGTGTTGTCCATGGTTTATAACTATGGTCACATCGACTTCTGTGGTTCGGCAGTGAGACTGTGTAGCCTCAAGTGTTGATTAGGGTTTATAAATATGATCACATTTACTTCTGTCGTCCGGCAGTAAGACAGTGTAGCATCAAGTATTGTCTAGGGTTTATAAATATGGTCAAATTGACTTATGTTGTCCGTCAGTAAGACTGGGTCGAGAGAATCGTTTTGTTGTGAAAGATGTATAAATTCACAGCCGAAATGGGGACGCGAAAACGTTTTTTTCTTTTTTCGTTAGGAAAAAAGATTTTGAGATCTTCTCAAAAAGTATCACAACGTTCGCAAAATGTAATCGATGTCATGCTCATTTTCTAAAATTTATTATAAAAATAAGGAAATGAGGTATGCATGATTGCCAATGAGACAACTATCCACCAAAGTTCAAATAAAGTTGATGTAAGAAATTATAGGCAACAGTACGGCCTTCAGCAATGAGAATAACCCATACCGTATAGTCGGCTATAAAAGGCCCCGACATGAAAAATTTGAAACAATTCAACTGAGAAAACTAACGACCTAATTTATAACAAAACAATTAACGAAAAACAAATATGACAGACATGAACCAACGACAACCACTGAACTACAGGCTCCTGACTTGGGGCAGATACATAAAGAATGTGGCGGGGTTATTCATGTTTGTAAGCGCTCAACAAACACCCCCCCCCACCTGGAACAGTGTTGTAACAGCACAACATAAGAACAAACTATAGAAATCAGTTGAAAAAGGCTCAACTCATCAGATCGATATAAAGCAAAAAAAAACAACAAACATAAACACAGACCGGACGTGGCAGGGTATTTATCCATCTCTCATCCCTAACAACAAAAAGGAAACTAAGTACAGATCTCTGAGAGTACTCGCAGTTACTGACAGCTAGCTCAAAGCCAATAACAACTAATAAAAAAATCATGTATCTAAGACTAAAATATCAATCAGTACACATCCAACATCCAATGGATTTAGTGTTAAGTCGTCATTAATAGTCAGAGAAAAACATGACCTTGTGCAATGTCAAAATAAAGGATCGACAGATTGTAGTATCGTTAAAGTGCATATGTGTATACCAAAACTATTAGTATGGTTTTAATTTACTGATAACAAAATCAATATTTATACCAATAAAAACAATATTCAAAGATCTAATTACAGTGTTGAATTGGTACCCTTTTAGAATACGTTTTTTGAAGGAGTGATAAGTTTGTATATAAATTTCCGGGATCGGTAAACGACAGCACCGTTAAATTTAGGATGTGCTATTCCGTCTGAAATAAGTTTTTTTTACGATTAGAGCCAAAATTGCAAATCAAATCTTTGTATCTATGGAAGAATTTAGTCAATTATGATTATTTGTTTCCAATCTAATTCGAATAAAAGTGTAGAATATAAGTTATTGTATATGCCACGTATAAGAGCAACGAGTTTCAAGTTTCAAGTTACAAAATAAATGTTGATCAAATGAGATTAGAATAAATATATCGGTGTCACCGTTTTTGAGTTTATTTTGTTTTACTTAAGAAACGTCTTCTACCTATGCAGGTTTCAAATAATCAAAAGAAAAAAGAATAATGTTATGGTTAATTTAAAAAAATATAACAAACAAAAAGACATGCATAATGCCACAAAAATTTGAAAAAAAAACATGACTGCGAAATATTTTACAAGCCTCGATCTTTTGCACCAAAGAAAGCATCGTGAAATGAAATAAAAATGAGAGGAAAGGAAACTGAAAGAAATGCTATGAAGGAGAATACAAAAAGTAAGAAAAATAAAAGTTCAATTCAATATTTAATTAATGTTAAAAAAAATCTGTGTACATTAGTAAATTAATGTATGCATTCATTAATGCGAACATTTGGCAAGAGAAAAGTATATAGTTGCGGAACTTAAAAGTTGCCAATTTATATATGAATATTCATTGAAAAATAAATATATGCTACCACTTTAAATCACATTAGTAAACACTATTAATTTTTTTCTGACAAACCAAAATCAGGTAAGGAATTTGATTACAGTTTATTAAGCTAATCAAACCCAAGCTTGAATGCTTTAAACTACTTTGAAACAACGTCAAAATCCTCTTCTTATAGGGAACGTCGTGAAGCGCTCACTGGTAACTATACCATGCACAACGTCTGACTAAATGTCTTCCCCTATTCAACATACCCTCTTTTTCAAGTGGCAGTTTAAATTTCGCAATTGTCACTATGGCCATCTACTTTGTAGAACCTACTCAATTGATGAGTTGTTGAATTTCATTTCGTCCTAAATATGCATGAAATATTTGACAATAGACATTACGCAAAGAACAATCAATCAATTCATCAATCTCATGACTGTATCGTTTGCATATTACATTAATAACACATCTACAAATTAATGCCACCAATGACTATCATTATATTATGAAGCGAAAAAGGGAAAATACATATTAAAAAAAAAAAAAAATGAAAACCACATATTATTAATTTCTTGTCATCAACGCACAAACAGGAAAATACAAATATTTGTAGCTATTCATTTTTTTTAGTTTTAACTAATCCTTTGTCCTTTATTTGAAGATACTAACCAAAAAAAAATACATATTCCATCATTCCTGTAATCGCTCGTGTAACTTATTTACAACAAAACACTTGACATATATATATCAACCTTTAAGTAATGTTGTAAAATACCAAACTCATTTTAAAATTGACAATCAGAATCACATATTTTGTTTTAAAACTGGACAAATTGGAACCTTCATTATTTTATTTTAAGTTACTCCCCTTTGTCCTATAATTGTCTTTTTCTAAAGATTATATTCATACCTAACAAAACCTAAGCCAATCGAAGATTCAATATTTGCAAAAAATGTTTATATTAACAAATCAACCCTTTGTTTGATCCGTTTTCTAGTTCTTTTGACAATTTTGACATGGGAAAAAGTCTACATGACAGGAAAATATAAATGATGCTAAATTGGACAATAAATATAAGAAGATGTGGTATGAGTGCCAATGAGACAACTCTCCATCCAAGTCAAAATTTATAAAAGTAAACCATTATAGGTCAATACGGTCTTCAACACGGAGTCTTGGCTCACACCGAACAGCAAGCTAAAAAGGGCGCCAAAAATTACTAGTGTAAAACCATTCAAACGGGAAAACCAACGGTCTAATCTATATAAAAAACGAGAAACGAGAAACACTTACATCAACAAACGACAACTACTGAACATCAGATTCCTGACTTAGGACAGGTGCAAACAATTGCAGCGGGTTTAAACGTTTTAATGGTACCAAACCTTCACCCTTATCTGAAATAATAGTGTGACATCACAACATAGAAAGACACACTATAAAATATCAATTGAAATGGCTTAACTCAATCAAAAGACATATTAACACCAGTGAACATGCGCTGAACAAATAAATTTGATCTATGATACAATGTAAATACAAAAAACTGTTTAGAAGGGATTGTTTCATTATACACATGCGGGAGATAAACAGATGTTGCAATCTCTTGATAGGTTTTCTGGTTTGGAAGAAAATAAGTTTTGGTCTCAGTCGATGAGAGTTATTCCATAGAAAACTGTAGTGTATTCTGAAATCATACGTTTGTATCTCATTAGATAAAATAAATGATGAACAATACAACAAAATGAACCAAGCAACACATAATACACAAGATCTTACCACATTAAACTTGTATTTACAAACGTGCAACAAAACGATATCGGCGAAGGTAGCAATGTCCGGAAGAATAAGGTAAACGATGTGATAAAAACTTGGACGGATTAACCTTCAGTGCATTGTCTGTAATGTAGACATTTTCGGGTCACAAAAACAATTAAGTGACAATGTAGATCAATCAAGCTTGCGTAGAAATCGCCCGTTATTTGTTACATTGGAAACTGGAGCTCAAAGCGCAAAGGGTCTGAAACATAAGACCTTTAACAGTTCAAGCGAATATAAATAGAACCACATAAATCGTGAAAGGAATATATGTGTGTCCTCGAATGAAACTCATAGTTGAGGGAAACTGGTAATCCTAAACAATTAAGATTGGAGTCGAACGAATCTGCCACGAGTGGGGTTCGAACTTACAACCTGAGTGTTGACAGGCTAGTGATCACTATAGGCAATCTACTTAGACCAATCGACTACCCTGAGAAAACACATCATAGGTTTATACCAGTAATGTCTTGGAGATATTTTTACAGGAAGTATGCCCCTTTGAAATGTAATTTATATTGAACACTTCATTGTAAGCCCTTACACACTAACAATCGTTGTTGGATTTTATATCAGCAAGGTCTTGGAAGAGTTCGATTATTCGCCCCGATCAAATACTTTTACAGGAGTTATAGCAGAATCTGCTTACCCTTCCGGAGCACCTGAGATCACCCCCAGTTTTTAGTGGGGTTCGTGTTGCTCAGTCTTTAGTTTTTTATGTTGTGTTTTATGTACTGTTGTTTGTCTGTTGGTCTTTTTCTTGTCATGGCGTTGTCAGTTTATTTTTAATTTATGAGTCTGAATGTTCCTTTGGTATCTTTCGCCTCTCTGTTATACCCTTTGGAAATAAAAATTATATGTTCTTTTATTTATGTTCCTTTGGCCCTTTCATACGTTTTGTTTATTTTCGAAACTAGTTCGCTATTTCCATGTTAGAAGTGATGTTTTGGATTTCAATAAACGTAAGCTATGTATAACTGGTAATTTGATACCCCGAGGTTACCACCAGCCAAAAATTGTTCGAAACACAAAGGGTTTTCTACCCCAGGAATATATTGCCTTAGCTGTATTTGGCAAAACCTTTCGTTCCTCAATGCTCTTCAACTTTGTACTTTATTTAGACTTTTATTATTCGAGCGTCTTTTGAAAACGAAACGCGCTTCTGGCGTACAAAATAAGAAGCCTGGGGCCGGTTTCACGAAGCTATCCTAAGACCTGTCGTAAGACATATCTTAGGACATGTCTTATTATCCTCTTATGACTATCCTAGGACATATCTCAGACCTCGTCTCGAAGCTGTCTTAGGATGATCTTAGCAAAGATATCCTAAACCTGTCGCAAGTTCTTTAAAATTTACAATATAAACATTGATTTATGCGAAAATTCATGTAAATATAGTATGTATTTCCTATAAATTAATACACGTATTGATTAATATCCAATAATTAGATAACTTGCAAAATTAATATAAAAAAATAAGAGTAATGTATATAAATAATACACCAATATACATAAACAAATTCAAATACAAAATGAAGAAGAAGAAAAAAAGAAGAAAATGTTGACAATTTCTTTTTTACAAGTGAGTTGAATTCAATTTGTCACTGTATCGGTTATAATAAGGTTAAAGGATAAAATCGTGCATTCCTGCTAAAAATGCATCGAATGTTCATTATTGATAAATCATTCTGATAATCCGTCAACCTAAAAAGATTTCGTTATGAGCAGGAAAAGGAGTCCCAATTTCACCGAATCAGAGCTTCAAATTCTTCTGGATGCCGTGGAAAAGAACAAGTCAGTTCTATTCAGTAAACTGTCCAATGTAATTACAAATAGTGCTTAAAAGAAGATTTGGGAGAAAATATGCAGTACAATTAATGCAACAAATCACACTGACCATACACGTACGGTAGAGGAGATTCGCAAGAAGTGGACGACATACATGAGCAGTGTAAAGCTGCTTCAAATAACCGTCGCGAGGCACGGAAGACGGGCGGCGGACCTCCACCAGAGGAATTAACTCCACTACAAGACAAAGTCGTCGGTATCATCGGAGAAACACCAATAGACGGCATAGAAGGGGGAACTGACACAGGATCTGTACCATCTGCGGATGGAAGTGAACCCGATGTCTTGGACTTCACTTTCCCTACCTGTCCGAATTCTCGAAGGAGTTCAAATTCGTCTATGGAAAACGGTAAGTTTCTTTATAAAAATTATAAGATGAGGTATGATAATAATGGCGGATCCAAGGTCAAGGGGCGAGAGTTCTGAGGGTTGGACCCCCCTTTTGTTGGCCACCTTATGCTGGTTGAAACCCCCCTTTTTATACGACTTGTATGTACGCATTGCAACCCCTTTTTAAAATGGCTGGATATACCAAAACTCACCATGCAATACAAAATGTCATTAATGTACGCAATAATATGTTACTGGACGACCGTTAACGCGGAGCTCAGGGAGCTACCATTTGATTTTTAGAGGGGGGGGGGGGGGGGGGGGGGGATGATGAAAAATTGTGTCCTGCCTTTTTTTTTTAGATGTAATCTCTGTCCTGCCTTTTTTAATTTTTCGCTCTATTCGATCCTGCCTTTTTTATTAGTTTCTCTGACTTTTTTTTACATACATTGTGATCCTACCTTTTTGTTATAAGTTGCTCATCCTGCGTTTTTTACTCAAAACTCCTGTCCTGTCAGTTGCGGATCCAGAGGGGGGTTCCGGGGGTTGGAACCCCCCCTTTTTTACGATCAAAGCATTTGAATGGGGCCATATTGTTGGAACCCCCTCTTTGTCCTGGGTTGGGAACACTAGTACCACCCCATTTTTTACTCCATTTATATGTAATTACAAATTTCAGTGGCCAAATGTTTATGATTAACACAGTCGAAGTGTATTACCTGAAGTACGCATAATGTCACAGGGGTGTGGAAATATTTGTTGTGACCACTTGCCCCCAGGCAAGTAAAATTGTAAATTTTACTTGTCCGAAAGTAAAGTTACTGATTTCTTAATGCATTTTGGAATGAAGAAGATGTATTTTTCTGTAAACGTGTATGTTTCTAAAACAGTTTTGAAACACAATGAAAATGGTATGCATGGTCTTTGTTTGTATATTAGAATGATACAAAGATAAGTAGAGCATACACCAATGAGCAACATTGTAGAAACCAACCCCAAAACAACTCCGAATTAATCTAGAGGCCAATATTGCAATGTTTTTCAATAGATATAGGAAGATGTGGTATGAGTGCCAACGGTCTAATCTATATAAAAACGAGAAACACGTATGAACTACATAAACAGACGACAACTACTGTAATCAGATTCCTGACTTAGGACAGGTGCAAACATTTGCAGTGCTTGCTTACATGAACCTGGGAGATTATATCATGACTTATTTATATTTTATTCACTGTGAGCCAGTGCGAACATTTAAAGTTAATAAAGAGATAAAACCAAATAAATGATGAATTATTGAATTGTTGTTTGCATCCCCCCCCCCCCCCCCCATAATTATTTGGTGGACCAATTGTAAATTTGAGATTTTTTGAGATTTATACATGTATATATCTACATTTCATTATTAGCGAAATCAAAATATTATAGAACTATAAAATCCTCTATTCCGTTTATTTTTATAATATTTGCACTTTGCCGCCTCTGATTTCCGTTTCTTGTAAAAATCAAGTTCTTAGCTTAACAATTTAATTTTAATGAGGCGCATCTTTTTCGTTGGTCAACTTCCGAGCGATGACCTATCCAATGCTTATCCAACTTGACCTGTCATTTAGTTTTAATACTTGAAAAATCAGTGCTCGAAATTAAAAATGACTATTATTTCCGGTGTACCGTTGCTATAACCTGATCAACGATCCCGGATCAACAAGAAAATATCACAGAATAATAATGAAACCCGGGTCCGCATACTTATTTTTTGTTGTTTGGTAATCGATCTATTTCTTGATCATTGATGTTGTTTTGCTAAAACATGTTGCTTTCGTCTTGTTATTTGATATTTTTTCTACTTTTATGAATGAATTTTGGGGACTTTTCTATATGATAATATAAATTAATAATGTCAAGCAACATTTTTTTTACTTGTCCACGGGCAACAAAGACACAAAAATTTGCTTGTCCGGTCGGTCAAATGTACGAGTCGGGCGAGTCGGGCATGACATTTCCACACCCCTGAATGTCTGTTACTTTCAATCTCTTACAATGTAAAAATCATGAATATTAAACAGTTCATTCTATTTCAGAACCAAGCTGCTCATTCTGGACAGAGAGCACCAAGGACTCATGTATGACAGGAGAGGCACCAATCGCCAAATCGGCAATGACATCTAACAAGATACTTGAGGACAAAACAACACAGCGTTTGATTGCCATCGAAGAGAGACGACTAAAAATAGAAGAAGAAAGGCTTCATGTCGAAAAACAGAGATTGACTATGGAGTCGGAAAGACTTGATATAGAAAGACAGCGATTTAACATTGAGCAACAGAAACACCAACTGTATTTGGCACAAATGAACATTAATTTAGCACAAATGAGAGTCCAAGTGTTAGACCAACAAACACTGAGCACACCTGATGATGCTTAGATTTAAACTTTATAAACCTCGCATAATGTTATATTACACATTTTTTGTTAATCTTTATTTCTTTAAATTATTAACGAGTCTATAGTGGGTTTTTTCAAAGCTGTCAACCTAAGCATTGAACTATTAATAAACTTTCTGCACAAAGAGTAGAGGATTTAATAAATATCTGGTAGTTGTAATGATAAAAAATACAGTATTAAAAAGTAATTGGATGATACAATTTATTCAATGTCCAAATCTTCCATTTATCAGCCTGTTTCTAACATTTGCACCATCATTCAAATGGCCGACATACTGTTGTCTGTCTATGTGTCCTTGGTCTGGGCGATTTCGGTCAATGTCTGCCGGCAATGGGATTCTATTTGCTATACACATATTATGTAAAACAGCAACAGCAATAAAAATTTCACAGCATTTTAATGGTCTGTAAAGCAATGTGCCAGCACTTGCATCTATGCAACGGAAACGTGATTTTAAGACTCCAAAACTCCTTTCGACAACGCTCCTCGTCTTCATATGGGAAGCATTGTATCTTTGTTGATTTCTCGTTGTTGGGTTAAGCACAGGAGTGAGAAGCCACGAACGAAGTGGATACCCACTATCTCCTATCAGCCATCCATGATCAATTGTTCCGTCCTCAAACATTTCACTCAAGCTAGAATTAGCCCAAATGAAGGCGTCGTGAGTTGCACCTGGCCATTTAGCTACAATGTTTAGAAATTTCATGTTAGAGTCACAAACTCCTTGAACATTAATAGAGTGGTAGTTTTTTTCTGTTCACATATAAATGTTCATCTTCTAATGGAGGTTTTATTCTAATGTGCGTCCCGTCTATTGCTCCGACGATATTTGGGAAGTCATCAATGCTGTAAAAGCCTTCCATCATGTTATGCAGCTGTGCTTGATCAGTTGGCATCTTAATATATTGGTTGCATACTCTTTTCAAACACATGCATTGTCACATCACGGGTAATTCTTGAAACACTCGAGATTGAAATATTGTGTACGTCGGCATTGACGAGCTGAAAACTCCCAGTTGCAAAAATCTCAAAGCAACCATGACTTGTAAAGAGACAGGGAAAGCGCGAGATCTCCTCGTTGGTCTTTGAAGATCAAATTCAAACATTCTGCAAATATCTATTATCATAGGACGTGATAGTCTGTATTTTCTTACTATTTCTGTGTCATCTAGGTAATCCAAAGGGTTGTCAGAGTCTCGGAAAATTCTATTTCTGCGTATGTTTTGATGTTGTTGTCTTAGGTGCATGAAAACTAGAGCCGCCATATTTGTTTACAACTCATGTTAGGACATCGTAACGATGTCTTAACTTAGGACTAGCCTAACACCATCATAAGACACCTCTCGTGTAGTCCTAACTTTATGACCAACTTTAAGAGATTTCCTAAGTTATGACCACTTCGTGAAACCCACTTAGGACTAAGATATGTCGTAAGACCATCCTAAGACATGTCTTAGTCCTAAGACATCTTCGTGAAACTGGCCCCTGGTATCTTTGATGAAATATTTTATTAAGTGAAGGATTTTTTACCACAAGTAACTTCAAACTTCATTATATTCTTTCATAAATACTTATATTTGGTTTGAAAGTTACGCTGTACCAGAAGAAACCATATTACAAATGGGATATCACATCCTAATTTTCATGATGATTTTTTTATAAAGCCCGTACATTTAGATGCAAGATATGTAAATTTATTTAGACCTTGAATAAATTTATTCTTAAAGGTTATCTACTATATTTAAGATCTTTTGATATTGTCTTTATTTGTACTTACATTGAATTTATTATTGATAAGTTAAAAGTATAACTCAATATGTATTGCTATTCGGTTTTACAAAAAATACATAATTTTTTTTAGATAATTTAGTTTGGGAAAACATGATTTGATTATTAGCTGCAACATTCTTTGAACTAGCTTTCAATAATTGCGATTCTCTTAGATCGGTACTGTGTGTTTAATGTTTTTAACTTTTTGTAAGTTTGTTTAGTGCTTCGCGTCGATGTGATCAGTCAAACCCTTTCCAACCGATTTTTTAGTTTGCTCTTACGTTGTGCTGCTACACTACTGTCCAAGGTTAGGATATAGGGTTGAGCTCGCAAACATTTTTAATCACGGCACATTCTGTACGTGTCTGTAACAAGTCAGGAGCCTGCAATTCAATGGTTGTCGTTTATTGTCTTATGTCATATTTGTTTTCCGTTAATTGTTTTGATTTTTTCGTTTGAATTGTGTTACCTTCTCATGTCGAGTCCTTTTATAGCTTACTATACGATATGGGGTTTTCTCATTGTTAAAGGCCGTACAGTGCCCTATTGTTGCTTAAATCCACGTCATTTGATCTCTGGTAGATAGTTGTCTCATTGGCAATCACATTACAGCTCCTTATTTTTACATTATTAATTTACATACATTTATATTTGCGCAAGTCTCAATTCCTAATTTTTAAACAAAAAGCCATAGCATAATGGTACGGACAATGCTTTAAAATATTTAGTTATATTAATTTTTCATTAGTATCTTATAATTATTATTGTCTCAATGTAAATATAAATATTTAAATGCTGATTCATGTGATTAAGATATATTGAAATTTGCAATTTTTTCAAACACGTTGCATTTTTGGTTATTTTGTATGGTGCAAATTGTGTATGATTCATATGGTAATGGGGTAGTGGGTGTGTTGTTAGTGAATGGTGTATGGGTAATGGTTTATAGTATAAAGGCGTTTGGTGTAATAAGGTATTGGGAATGATGTAAACGGGAAGTAGCAGTTTACCGGTATAATAGTACTTCGTAAAAAACTTACGAAATATCCCTCGATAGGTAGTTCCAACATTGTTACACCTCATATAGCAATGCTTAATTTTTATTTGTTGTATTTTGATGCTTTTTCTTCGTTCTTCAGTCATATTCATGTTTTTTATTCTCGACATCCGGTAGATATGCCTCAAATTACCTTCTCTGTCGTGATGTTTTCCAAATGAATATTCTGTTTTACCCATGCCGAGTCTTTTCCCGCCAAATACACCCAAAACAAAACATTAGTTTTAAATAATATACTTTTCTAAATTAAAAACTGATATTTACCCTGTATTAACTTTACCATGTTATCGGTGTCTCTTTGGGCCTTAGTATTAACTTTTCATGTCTTTTTCTCTTCCCCTTCCTTGAAATTGATATTGCTTTGGCTCCTTTCTATGGTGTACATTTTGCAGTTGTTTCTGAATGCAAGTATTTGCAGTGACGTCGCATATTGTTTTGTTTGAAAGAAAAACTTTCAGTAAGATTTCAAATATCCTTAATCGGTCAAAACTTTTACTCTATGAATAGCTCTTCTACATCGTAATGATTTGGCATTCCAAATATTTATATTTGGCGCCACTAATGAGTTTAATTGTCACAAAACGCACATCTCGCCTAGCGTAATAAAATTATGGTATCTTTGATGATTTTTTTATTTAAGGAATGACTGTAATATTTTCTGTCTATGGAGAAATAACATCAAAAATGTGGTGCACACTGAATAACCAGCGTAGCGGGTTATTTAAAAGTGTACACCACATTTTTTATGTTATTTCGAATAGACAGAAAAAATATTACAGCCATTCCTTATAATTTAATTCTAGAAAGGAGTAAATAATGATAAAAACGTTGATGACGTCGCGGTCACATGACAAAATTATGTCTATGAGATGATAGACAAAACACTTTCAGCCAATCAGAAGACGTGTTACATCCAAAATTAAATTATTCACATATACAAGGATTTACGTATGATTGATAAGTCTAATAATAACAAATGCCATTTCCCAAACAATTCAATACATACGCATACAAACTGTCTTTCAAATTTATGTTTTTTGGCTGCATAGACTTAAACTAACTGATTATAATTTCACTGTTGTTATGAAATCATTGTGTCTTAGATATTTTGGAAATTTTTTTTTTATTTCATATAATGTACACAAATTAAGTTTTTGTATTGAATATACATTTTTTGTGAGTGTACACTTGTGCAATCCATTTGAAGATGTTACAGACATCATTTTCATCATTGTTTGATGCGGTAGTAAATAAGTGTCATTTCTTCTTTGTGTCAGTGTTAAGTCGTCGGTAATTGCAAATTTAAACAGTTCGGTACTTGTTTAAATAGTCATTATTGTTATTAAAAATGATTGAGATAAAAAGGGGGATATTGTATCTTTTTAAAGAAAACTACGTAGACATCATCACATAATAATGCAACTACTAGTACCTGCATCATAAATGACACCTAATCACAAAAGATCTCTTAATATTCATTGGTTTGCATTAATCACAAAAGATCTCTTAATATTCATTGGTTTGCATTAAAATTTTAAAGAGAAAAAAATCATTTCCTTTTGTAAGATTGTTTGACAATCATTGAGTTCCATTCACAGTTTATCTGAGATGATTTCCTATATACAGACTTTTAGACTAAGCCTTTTCATGTATTTACTTTGTTATTAGTTCTGTACTGATCTCATAGGTCGAAAACGCTTCTTTCTTATTCGTACAAATAACTATGTGTTTATCTTGTTTTTTTCTTTGTTCGCTGTGAATTAGCGGTTAAGCGATTGCATATATTTAGAAAAATACTAATTTATCAAAGGGGCACGAAACTATTTATTTTCATCTGAGATTCGAAAAAGCTTATGCTTCACATTTATAATTTATAATACCATGAGTCTTTTTTTCCTCGTGTATCATATTAATTATTTATAAGGTTAAAAAAAAGATAGCATTTCTTTTCCTTTATATGACTCAGAGATAATAAAGTCCATCTTGTTAGTGGACTTTCAACCTTGTATATGGGTGGACAATTGGTGAGTAAGCTCAATCATTAACACGTGTATGTAAGATGACCGATAAAACAGTTCAAATTAATCAATTTATTTTTTTTATTAAGTAAATTTATTCAAATTAATTTCAGTTCATTTTAATAATTATATTTAGTAATTTTTGTTTTGTTTTTATGTTATGGATTTATTTTTCATATGTTTTGTATAAATCCGCGCAAATGAAGTAGCTTTTCAACAGGTAAATTTCGCGCAAACGTGATGCGATTTGTCGCGCAAACGTGGATCTTTTTTTGCGAAAATGTAGGACGAATTCGCGCAAACGTAACGCGCCGACATAAGGGTATATTATTTATGTGATACTACTAGCCAGTCCCTAATATTTCAATAATTTTCTTTCAATGATTAATTTGTAAATATTTCTTGAAAGGATTTGTTTTTCTAAAAAGCTGTATAGTGAAACAACTTAATTTCTTTGGGGATAATTCATGTTATTTTTGATACATGATTGTAATTCTGAGAGTTCTTTTACTAATTACTTTAGATTATTACCATGTACAAAAATTCAATACATAAAATCTATGTAAATAGAATGCGTATTCTTAAATTTGAAATTCTCCTTTCATATTTCTTGCATTCATGGTATGAATGTAGTTAGAATAATACAGCTGAAGGAAAACATTAAAGTATAAGATGTTTTTACCTTTCAAAAATTCTTCAAAGGGTAATTATAATCAAACCTTATATAGTAATGGAGTTCGCGAAATAATTACCATATTTTAAGGATATGTCTACAAATTTTATCCCACGTTGAGATTTTCTACGAATTCAACTATAATTTATGAGGTTTAAAAGGGCGCTTTCAAAAATTATTAGAATAAA